AAGTGCTTCCACGGACAGAGTCCCACCTGCGCCCACAAAAATACAAGAAGATGCAGGTACCGCAGCCTCCCCAGCGCGCCTGGCCTGGGGGACAGTCCCCCCCTCCCTGGGCCTGAGCCCTGCCTGTGGCTCCCATGCGGATCCCGCAGGCTGCCCTCCAGCGCCCTCTGCGGGGGAACGGGTAGGTTAGTTTTCAAAGAGGAAACCGGAGATGCTGAGCTTTCCTCCCAGATGCGGCAGCCCAGGAAGAGCAGGGCTTCCTCTGCCCCCCCCCCCCCCCCATCCCCAGTGGGGGGCGTGCGGGAGGCAGCCGATCCATGATTCTCTCCCCTCACTGATGTTTCTGTCTCTCCCTCTCCCTTCCTCTCAGAAATCAACAAAAATATATTTTAAAAAAAGAAAGTGCTAGGGTATTTGGATGTTTTCTCAAATTATAAAAAGAGTTTTCTTTTGAAGCTAAAACAAGCAAGCAGACCTAGTACTCCCTGAGGAAGGTGAGAGGCCGGAGAGCGGGAGGGTCCGAGGGGGAGAGTCCCTGGGGGGCTGCGTGTCCGGTTGCCGGGCAGCAGAGGACCTGGAGGGGGAGGGACTCAGAATGTTTGTCGGTCTCCTCGGTAACGGCAGCCCTGCCAGGAGCCGGTGGGGAGCAGGATGGCCGAGGACTGGGATTCTGAGTGTGAGTGGGCTGAGCCCTTCGGCTGCTCGGGGATGTGTGTGATGGTGGGTTGCCCGGGAAGCCCGCGTCTCTGAGCCCTGAGTGGGGAATGAGGACCTTCGGGGGCAGCAGCTCCACTCCGGGGCCCCGGGGTTCGGGGTGGGCCTGCGGGTGAGGTGCCAACACAGAAAATCTCCCAGCAACTCGCAGAGGACACGGCTTAGGTGTGTGTGTGTGTGTGTGTCTGTCCTTGGAAGGAGGGGCGTGGGAAGTGAGGGAAGTGCCGCTGGCTTTGAGGTGGAGGGGCCATGAGTCTGGAGAAGGGGTTCCCCCAGAGCTCAGTCACCCCCATCCACAGCGGGCGTGGGGCGAGCCGGTCCTACAACAGCAGGAACTGGGCGATGTCAGCAACCGGGGAGCCTGGGAGCGCCGTTCCCCCAAAGCCTCCAGAACCCCACCAGGCACCCCCCCCCATGGCCCGGTGCCACCCGAGCCGAGACCCAGCCCCTCCAGGCCGCGGTTCTGACCGGGACCTGCAGCTGCTGCCACGGGGCACCTGTGTGTGGCTCACTTGTCAGACGGCCGTGGGAGCTGTCACTTGGCCTCCTTCCTGGGACCCCGCTATGTGTTGGGAGAACCCCTGGGTCCTGGTTCAGGGCCGTTGCTTCTGGACAGAGCTGGTCTGACAAGCGGGTTTAATGTTTTCCTCTCGGTCCCTGCGCTCCTCCTCCGGGAATGGTGGGTCCGTGGGGCCACCGGGCCGCGTGGCTGCCCGATGGTCCCGGGAGCGAGTGGCATGAGGTCCCGTCTTCCCTGTGCAGTCCGCCTGCCGTGGGGGCACCGTGCGGCCTCAGCTGTGGACGCGCTGTGGGACGTCAGGAAACTGCTGCGAAGACTCGAGAAAGGCTACCTTCAGGACATCTCCCTCCACACCACGGGACACCTGAACCCCAACAACCTCTACAGGCCCCCCGAGAAGATCATCCATCACTGGCCCAATGCCTACCGGCCCGCGGCGAAGAGACGCCCGGCGAAGCCGTCGGAGAAGAAGGTGGCCACGATGAAGGACGCGCTGGCCCATTTCACCATCAACACGGCGCTGCGCCCCAGCGAGGCCCCGGGCACACCGCTGTTCCGCTACCTGCACCCCCCGGCACCGGCGCCGCCCCCCTCCGAGGGGGATGTCGCCCCGCAGCCGAGTGGGGGGGCCGAGGGCTCTCCCCCGCAGCGCAGGAGAGAGGAGCTCACGTGGCCGGAGGTGAAGGTGCTGAAGCTCAAGGCCGCGCGGTCCAGCCGGCAGTGCGTGCTCTCGCCCGCGGGCAGGGACGAGTACTGCTACGTCACCTCCCACCTCGCGGGCCTGACCAAGGCGGACAAGTACGAGAAGTTCCTGCATTTCCAGAGGAAAGTGCTGGCCACGCAGGACCTCCTGGAGAGCGACTTCACGGGGGCCAAAGCGGCGCTGCGCCTCGAGAAGAAGTTGGAGCAGGTAAGGGGTGGGGGCTGTGGGCACAGGCGCCGGGCGCCCGGGTCTCATGCTGAGGGAGACACACCCTCTGACACCTCCGTACATCCCCAGGCAGAACGTGACAGCCGCCCGTTACAGAGAACATCACTGGGATGTAGATGGTGCCAGGCAGGGTGAGATGGTGACTGACAGGCAGGGTGAGATGGTGATTGACAGACAGGGTGAGATGGTGACAAGGAGGGTGAGCAGGTAACCGAAGGTTCTCAGCTCTGGTTAGAGGGCGTCAGGTGCACCGTGGTGTGTCCCTGGCTGATCCTTGAACATGGGAGCTTTCAGTCACCCTCTGATGGAAGCCCCCAGCTCTGACTCCTCAGCGCCAGGCCTGGTGGGGGGTGGGGGGAGCAGGAGGGCCTGAGCGGGACGTCGGGAAGGCGGTGGGAAGGCGGTCGGAGGCGAGCAGAGGGCCTGAGCGCCCCGTCCCCCAGGAGCTCCGGAAGGTGTGCGCGTGCGACCCGCAGGAGCTCCACAGGCTGCAGGTCTTCAGCGAGGCCTTCGAGGACGTGTGCAGCAGCTCCTTGCTGTTCGGCGGCATCTTGAAGGAAGTGAAGGTGAGCAGCACACATCCCGCCTCCCGGGGCGCCGCAGCCCCTCCGTCTTAACGGCCCTGGAATCAGCGCCCGCCAGCTCCGCCCCGATCCCCAGCCAGTCTTCCCTGACGCGTTCCCATCCCATGTGCCTGTGAGCAAGGACATGCGCCCCCTGAGCCCCCTTAGTGCTGCCGGTAACGTTTCTGGACCCTCCCAGAGGAAGCTTATTGGGCCCGTGAGGGTGCCCTCCGGGGTGAGGGTGCCCTTGGGGGTGAGTGTGCCCTTGGGGGGGGTGAGTGTGCCCTCGGGGGTGAGGGTGCCCTCGGGGGTGAGTGTGCCCTTGAGGGTGAGTGTACCCTCGGGGGTGAAGCCGAGCTGAGGTTGGGTGGTGCCCACAGCTGCGGTCTCCGGTTCTGAGTGGCACTGAATATCTACACGTGGCCATCTGTGGCCACTCCGGCAGGGCACTTCCCCGGACCCACCCAGGGGCGTCCGTGTGGACTCCTGTCCGGCAGTTTATGGCACTATCCTGAGGGGATCGGTGGCTCACACTCAGATAGGCTGCCAAGATGCTAAGGTCGTATGCCTTTAATGTGTGTCTTGTTTAGTAGAACGCTGAAATATTTCGTATTTTTTACAGTGATCGAAACTGACATCCTTAACCTCCATGTTACTTGTACCTGCAAACCCCCCCATTGTGCTGTTGGCTCAGAGCACATCTCCGCAGCCCCTCTCTCTCCCCGTGTAGGATGAATACGAGCTCTACATGGCCATCCTGCTGAGCGCCCAGCCCACGGACCAGTACCAGGTACCCTCCTCACGCAGGGGCCTTGCAGGGCCTGTACTTCCTCATTCACCAGCAGCAGAAACATCTGGAACCCAAGAAGACCCATTCGTGCCTACATCATCTAAACAATTAAAATATATATATATTATTGATTTCAGAGAGCAAGGGAGAGGGAGAGAGAGAAACATCAATGATGAGAGAGAATCATGGATTAGCTCCTGCATGCCCCCTACTGGCGATCAAGCCTGCATCCCAGGCATGTGCCTGGAATCCAACCCAGGATCCTTCAGTCCTCAGGCCGATGGTCTATCCACTGAGACAACCAGCTAGGGCTGTGCCTACATAATTTAGAATAGCTACACCTTGGACTAGCTGAAGGGCATTATGGGTAAAGAATTCACTTTTCACCTTCTGCTCATGGTGAGGGGCAGGGGTGGGGTGGGGCGCACAGCCATCCCCTCTCCCTGGGCACAATGTCTGCTCTCGGGCTGGGCCAGGGCAGCGGCCATGCTTCTGGGACAACCTGATTCACAAGACGGGCACGGGGCTGGGAGGGAGGGATGGGGTCCTGACGCTGCGTCTGCCCTGCTTCTGATTAAGCCTCTGCTCCATGAATAGGGTGGCAGTGAGGGCCCTGGTACCTCTGCTGCCCGGGCCTGAAGCGGAGCCTCTGGCACATGGGCCTGGGCTTGGGAGGGAAATTCTGACGGCTCCCCTCCTGGGAGAGGCCGTGGCCATCACGAGAGCTGTCGGTGACGACCAGCAAGCATGTCACTGCAGGGTGTGAGGGAGGCCCCTGATGCTGCTGGGACGGGGGTGGGGCCTGCCTGAAGCATCTGACCAGCACGCCCTCCCCACGCACACCAGCAGGAAACCCGCCATGTAAAACATTTCCTGTAAACGAAAACCTGAAAACAGCGAGAAGTGTGTTTTCCGGATCTTCACGGGGCTAGCTGTCCCTTCTCGTGTTTCCCCACACCCCAGTCCTCCCCACGTACCATTTTCACTGGGATTTAAATATCTGTTAAAAATGGATTTCAGAGAGGAAGGGAGAGGGAGAGAGATAGAAACATCCATGATGAGAGAGAATCATGGATCGGCTGCCTCTTGCACGCCCCCTATCGGGGATGGACCCTGCAACCCGGGCCTGTGCCCTGACCGGGAATCCAACCCTGACCTCCTGGTTCCTAGGTCGACGCTCAGCCACGGAGCCCCGCTGGCCGGGCCGATTTTCACGTGAATTGATGTCTGGGCTCAGGACAGCCTGGTTGCACTGGACTAGCCAGACAAGGGACCCCCTCCTGTGTGTCCACACAGACTCTGCTGGAGGAGGCCAAAGGGCTGGCGAGGAGCTCGGTGCAGACGGCGGAGGTCACCCGGGCCCGGGAGGAGCTGAGGGCACTCGTGGCGGCCACCAACGCGGCCCTGGAGCACAACGACAGGTGAGGTCACCCTCACTCCCGCTTCTGCTCTCGCCGTTTACAGGGTTTACAGCATGTGACACGCGTGTTACTCTCGCCGTTTACGGTGTTTACAGCACGTGACACATGTATGTTACTCTCACCGTTTACGGTGTTTACAGCACGTGACACGCGTGTTACTCTCGCCGTTTACGGTGTTTACAGCGTGTGACACGTGTGTTACTCTCGCTGTTTATGGTGTTTACAGCGTGTGACACGCGTATGTTACTCTCACCATTTACGGTGTTTACAGCGTGTGACACGCGTGTTACTCTCGCTGTTTATGGTGTTTACAGCATGTGACACGCGTGTTACTCTCACCATTTACAGTGTTTACAGCGTGTGACACGCGTATGTTACTCTCACCATTTACAGTGTTTACACACATGGCACACATATGTTACTCACCGTTTACAGTGTTTACACACGTGACACACACGTTACTCTTACCATTTACAGTGTTTACAGTGCGCAATATGCGTATGTTACTCTCACCGTTTATGGTGTTTACAGCACATGACATGCGTATCTTACTCTCACAGTTAATAGTGTTTACAATACGTGACACATGTATGTTACTCTCACCGTTTACAGTGTTTAGTGTGTGACACGGGTATGTTACGTCCTTCCTGCATCCCCGGGTGAGGTGCGGCCTTTCCCCGCATGCCCGTCTCCCGCCTCTTCACACACCGCCCCATGGGCCCAGGACCTCGAAGGCCTGGCCTCGCTCTGGGAGGGGGTGTCGCTGCAGTTCTCATGTCTCCTCTGGGGATCCCCGAGGACTTCCTTTGATGAGTGGGAGCTGCAAAGTCAGCACACCCTTGATGGACGCCCTGATTGTGTCTTTAACCTAAACCCTCCCCTTCACCTCTTGGGTACTAGTCTTTCTGGAGGAAATGACTTGTAAACGATTAAAAAAAATAGGCAAATCTGACACCCCCAGAATATCCTCAAGAAAACAAAACAAGAAACAAAGACAAAAACTCAACAAACCGTAGCTTCCGTGACTGGGAGACGACAGCCTTTGGAAAAGTCGAAATCCCTGAAAACAGAAAGCCAGTGTCAGGTGCCAGGAGGTCACGTCGCCATGTCGCCCTCTGCTCAGCTGGGAGAGCCAGGCGGTGTGCGGGGCGGAGCACGGAGCCCTGAGCCTCAGGCTCGCAAACCAGGGCCCGGGAGAGGGGCTGTGCCCAGTGAGGAGGCACGGGGGCCGCTGGAGCCCTCCCAGAGCGCCCGCCTGTGGGAGAGAAACATCCCGAGATGACAATGATAGAGGTGAGAAGCAGGTTAAATCTCTTGTCTTTTATTTTTAGTTGAAATAGAGTGGGATTTGTCAGCTGCTGCTGTGGTGAGGGAGGTGAAATCTCATTCCAGCCTCAGGGAGACCTCTCCGTGGCTCTTGACGTGTTTGCTCCAGAATCTAAAATGCTAGGTTTGTGCCTCCTTGTTTTTGAGGAATTCAAGTCGTAAAATAATACCGGTAAACCCTGTGGTAAATAACTGGTCCCACTCTCACCAGCTCCCACGTGGCGGGCCCGGCAGTCTCGGCGGGATAGTTCTTCGGTGTCTTCAACTGGACCCACCCCAGCTCTCACTCTACAGACACCTTCTATCGACCCTTTTTGTTGCAAAGATTAGTTTTTATTTCTCAATTTTCAAAAAGACAGAAAATAGATGAGAGGAGGAAGGCAGGGGGGGCTCTAACCTGGCTGTGTTGTCCTCACTCTCAGGCTCAGGAGCGAGCTGGCGGAGGAGCGGCGGCGGCTGCGACGCGCGCAGGAGAAGGCAGGCAAGTCCCCGATGTTCTTCTCACGCTCGGTTCCGCCGCCTCTGGGTGCGGAGCTGCCAACCTGGTCCGCTGTCCGGGGCCTCCCGCCGTTCGTTATGGCAAAGGATATTTTTTTTTTCAGAGAAATGATCACATTTTACTGATTTTTCCCATCAAGTTCTTTAGAAACACAGTGAGTTTAATTTGATTGAAGTGTTTTTTAAAATATCTTTTTATTGATTCCAGAGAGAAATAGAAACATCAGTGATGAGAGAATCATGGATCGGCTGCCTCCTGTACACCCCCTGCTGGGGATGGAGCCCACAACCCAGACATGTGCCCCGACCAGGAATTGAACTGTGACCTCCTGGTTCATAGGTCGCCGCTCAGCCCCACGCCGGCCGGGCTGTGGCAGTGTTTTGGCTGAGGTCCTTTAGACGCGGCGTGGTTGCCCCGAGAGCCTTGTCAGGGTGCTCATGTCCCCAGAAACAGGGAACACGGGCCACTGTTTCCTGCTCTCTCAGGTCTGTGTGGTTTCCCGGGGACTAAGTGGGGACCTTGTGTAGAGTCAGGTCAGGTTTTGACGAGACACTGGGAGCGGATCCTGAGGACCCTGACGTAGACTCGGGGTCCGGCCCAGGAGGACGGCGAGGACTAAGGGGTCTCCCCTGCAGACGGGTCTAATACACGACAGACGCGAGCGCGGCCCGGGAGCTGCTGTTCAGAGCCACCACGTGGGGATGACCTGGGAGGGGCCGCGGTCTCCTGTGGTGGTCAGGGTCACGGCAATGAAGACAGTCCATTCTGGTTTCCAGAACCTTCTCATTCTTAGTCCCGGCTCAAAGAAGTCAGCTTTCCAGACTGCGAGGAGTTTCTAAGGCTGTCCATGCTGGAGACGCTCTCTGCCTTGCACACACATTCTCCACCTCTGCCCATTGCCGGGATCCCCTCCCAGGGCGCCTCCGTGGCGGCATCATGGCCTGGCCATGTGGCCTGGTGATGTGGCCCAGCAGCATGGCCCGGTGATATGGGCCGGCAGCGTGGCCAGGCTGTGGCCCGGCGATGTGGCCGTGGCCGTCCAGGTTCCGAGCTTTGTTATTTCGGCCTCAGGAGCCTCAGCTGAGAGTCTCAGTTGGAGAGTTGGAGCAGGTAGTGCTTCCCCCTCAGGTGATTGAGGAAGAAACGTGCGGACCGACCACGGGAGGCACAGAGTCTGGGGCAGCGGGATCACTGCCCGTCCACCTTCTCTGTGTCCTTGTTTCTTGTGAGGAAAACACACAGTTTGTGGCAAATGGATTACATTTTACAAATATTGATGCATTACATACATATTAAAATTTACCATAAAATTAGATGCACATTTCACATGATTAAATACTCAAAAGCAGCTCCGTGAGGTGTCTTGCTCATTAACCTTCACTGTTTACACCGATTCCGTCCGATGCCCTTTCCCTCCATGTGTGTGACATGCCGCTCAGTGACTCACGGGACCACGGCCCTCACAGACCTGCCTGCATCGAGCTCTGAGCAGACTCGCCCTCGAGGTTCCAGCCAGAGTCCCTGGTCTTCCTGCTCCTCGTCCTTCCCAGGGCAATGCCTCACCTGCTCTCTGTCTGTCTGTCTGTCTGTCTCCCCAGGGCAATGCCTCACCTGCTGTCTGTCTGTCTGTCAGTCTCCCTAGGGCAATGCCTCCTGCTGTCTGTCTGTCTGTCTGTCTCCCCAGGGCAATGCCTCACCTGCTGTCTGTCTGTCTGTCTGTCT